CCCCCCCCCCGCTATCTTGGTGGTGTTGGTACGGTTGAGTTTTTGTTGGAGCGGCCACGCTCGTGGACTCGATTTTGTACCCGCCCCCCCCAATAAAGACATGCCCGTAAACGCTAAAATCATATCGGTACGACACACATGTTGCTGTTTGGCATGTTCCGGTGAGAGGCGGAGAGATGCCCCCCCCCCCCCCCCCCTACACCGATTTTCGAAGCTCTATTTGCTCCAAAGCAGTCAACCTTGTGCCAATACCGAGAATGGTGGTTTCCAAACCATCTCTTCTAGGGGTTTTCCGTAGATCGATCGGTTGTGGAGCAATCGAACTACATTCTGCTGTGAAGGTCGGCCTACGGGGGTTGCCATCTCTCCGCCTCTTCCGGTAGTCACACACAGATAGGTCCTGTTGCAGTGGTACGTGATCGAGCACCCTTCCCACTTGCCTAGGCGTAGCAACCTCGAGAGCTGCTTGTGTTTAGAAGTGCCATTAAAAGCAGTGTAGTGGGCCTTCAAGAATGCCGGGGTTGAATAACGCCGGTGGCCCTGTGGCTCGCGCCAGTGAAATTTGCTGGGCACAGACTGAATCATCGTGTGCTGCTTGTAGTTTGAAAAGCGCCGAGCCCCTTGAACATGGCGTCGGTCGATTCGCCGGGCAAATACCGGGGTTATCGAGGGCCCACCTCCGCCGTAGTGTATCACTCCCTTCGAAGTCGCGCATCACGTGACGCGGCGTCCCATACCCCTAATGTTGTCGGTCGTGCCCGCATGTATGTGTTAAGGCTTTCGTATCGATGTCGTCTACGACGAACACGAGTGTGTTTCCTGGTCGGCAATAAATAGAGCCGTTTTGTGACGCCAACCTTTTCTGTAAGCAGCGATGTAGCTTGCTGTCGACCCCTCCGGGTTCGTCGATGGGAAGCGATGTGCGAGGTAGAGCCTGACGTGCGTAAAAGACGTGCCCTGTCTCGTGTGTGTGTGTGTGTAGGTTCGTGGTAAAGTTGCTGCAACGCCACATGACCACCAACAACGAAAACATGCATGCCTTACGCTTGGAGGAAAAGAGATCGGCGTTTCTCTTGACAACACCACCGACTTAGGGTTGTGTTTTGAGACGAAAAGGGGGGAGGGAGAGGTGTACAAGGTAACGGTATCCGCGTATGGTCGGGGGAGGCTACGCACACTGAACAGGTCGCAGGTAAAACCGTCTATAATACCTGTAATAGGCGAGGGTGACATCCCCTGGAAGAGCTTGTGTGGAATTTTGTCGGGAGGCAAGGATGCGCTGAACGCACGCTCCCAAGACGTGGGTATGGTATAGTCTCCCTATATCCTCCCACTACGAACTTGAGGTCTGGACTCAAGTCTCGTCCCGCCCCCCTCCCTCTGTCCCTCCCGTGCATGTGTGTGCCTCAATGCGCATTTCTTGCGTGATTTTTGTTTTTGGCCGCCATCACACGACTGCCCTTCGTTGTTTGTGGTTCTTTGTGGCTTGGGTTAAACTCGCTCGGCCGGGGGGTTGAACAATAACAACACCTCAACACCACCAACACCCAACGACTACAACAACGACAATCACGACGAACATTTTTGACAGGATGGCGGCAGGGTCCTATTGCGCAAGAGCTGCGATCTCTGCGTGCGGCTGAAGCGCGCGTGCGACGGTCAAAGCCCGTGCCAACTTTGTCTTCGACGGTGAGAGCCGCGCTTTGAAAAGACTGCTGCTGCTGTACGAAGCGATTTTTTCTTCGTGGTTCGTTCAGGTTCCCTGGGCTCGTCCGAGTAAGAAAATCAAAGTCAGCTTGTTTGCTCGAAGTAAGGAAACGTCACTGATTTCAGCTGGAAGTTGATTCCCACCAACACATGCTTTGCTTCATCGTCCGTTGATGACGCTACTCCCGATAAGCCCACGCCGAGGGCGCTTCTTGTAGGGTAGTTTGGATGGATTGTCGAGATCCCCCTCATAAAGGGTACAGCGTCTGTCGAGAGCAATTTCCGCAACGATGGTGAGAGCTGCGCGATAAAAAAGATGCGCTGGATGCAAGAGGACACTCTCTCACAACGCCTGTCGAGGTGTCGAGATTCATAGCATGTGTGCGGGTAACGCAGCCGAAGCACACCTCTGCTGCTGTTCATGGTACAGCCCACAGCAGCAGTCCGGTGATGTATGCTGCTGCCCGTGTGTTCCGTCGGCCTGTCTCGCCAACTTCTACATACCCAGGCTGGCGTCCCTCTTGCCCCGACGGTACCCATCACCCAAGCATTGCCCTTGGAAGTTTAAGGTTCATACCCGTATGCACAGCCCTTCTTCCCTGTCCCGCTCCTTGACTATTCATTCCTGTATCCCCGCCAATGCTTCCCTTGCCGCCTCCGAGTGGTGCCCTTGACAACTCATCCCCGTCCCCCCCCCTTCCCCCCCCCCGCCCCCCCCCGACCCTTGGTGTCCCCAGCCGCGAGACGTGCACACGGAGCGTGAAGCGGAAAAGCGGCCCCGCGAAGGGCACCAAGTACACCACCCGGCGCGTTCGGATGGAAGCCGGCATCGCGGAGCCTGCGAGCAGCAGCAGCAAGAGCAGCAAGGCGAAAACGCCGCGCGCTGGTCAGGCCAGGGGGGGGGGAGGGCGTGGCGGCGGCAGCGGCCCCGCAGGAGGGAAAGGGGGAGGGGGGCGCGGGAGCGGGAGCGGGAGCGGGAGCGGGGGGCGGACGACGAAAAAGGGCTCATCGCGGAAAGGTAACGCCAACCCGGCCGCCGGGTTGGTGTCTTCAACCGCGATGGTGTCCGTCAAGCTGCCTCCGCCCACGGCAGGCCAGGAGCAGGAGCAGGAGCAGGAGGAGGGCGCGTCGGCTGTGGCGGCAGCATCCGCTGTTCCCGCGGGTGTCGGCAGTGCCGGTACCGGGGGAAGGGGTAGAGGAAAGGGGAGGGGAAAGGCGGGGTCCCCGGCGGGTGTCGCCGGCGGTGGGGGTGGGGGAGGGCGGGCTCTTGTGGGGCATGGCGGCGGCGCGGGCGGCGACATGCAAGTCAACGCTGGGGTGCCGCCGTCTCCCACCACCGCCCACCACCGTCACCATCACCAGGGCGGTGGCGGCGGTGGCGGCGGCGGCGGCGGCGGCGGCGCTCCTCTTCTCCCTCCCGCCGCCGGCGACGGGAAGATCTTGCCCTTCCCGCCGCCACCTCCGGCGGGCAGCAAAGGAGAAGACGAACAACGAGAAGAAGGGAGCAGGAGCGATGCTTACAACGGCAACGCCGACACCGTAGGCACCGGCGGCGCCGGCGGCGCCGGCGCCGGGGGCATGCACCACCAGAGCAGCCGCCACCATCACCACCATCGCCAGGGGAGTGTGGACGTGGTAGTCCCGCGGCGGTCGCTGTCGCCGCTCTCCCTGCCGACGCTGCCCTGGCCGTCCCCGGTCATGGGCGGCGGACCGGGCCCAGATAATTACCACCACCCCCACGGCGGCGGCGGGCGCAGCGGTGCGGCGCGGTCCACCAGCCCGTTCGGCCTCCTTTCGGGCCCTCCCCCGCCGGTCCTAGGGGAAGGGGCCGGCGGCACCATCCCGCGGAGGGGGGGCACGCGCGAGCCGCCCGTGGAGGCCGGCGGCGCCGGGCCGGGACACCTGCTGCCCGGACATCACCACCTGATGCAGCCGCCCCCGGTAGGGGTCGGGGGGGGGCACCACCATCATGGAGTATTGCCCGGAGGGCATCACCACCACGGAGGGCACTTTCGAGGCCCTCCGGGGGGGGGCGGCGGCGGCGGGCAGCCGCCACCGCCGAAGCGCTATCGGATGGTGAGAGGACGGGGGACGGGATTTAGGCTGGGGCTGGGGGGGCGGGGGTATGAGTGAGGTGTGAGGTTGTGGAGGTTCGAGCTTGCTCGGGTGGAGCAAGTAGTGGATGGAGAGCGGGACACGATGCGGCGGGGTCTGTGCGCTAAATTTTTTTCTTGGGGATGTACGGTCAACCACAGAGGCTCTGCGTACTGGAGTGCTGTGGAAAAGCTGTATGTAGCGTCGTATGCCGCGGCCGCCCCTCGTGGGACGAAGACGGGGAGCTGACCCTTGCATTTCCGGAACATTGAAAACATTGTTCTCCTACAACTGCTAGCCACTGGTCAGAAACGAATGTGCCGATATTGACGACGGTTCGTGCACAACAGGGGTGATACCGCCATCATAACCGGCGGGGCCGCCGCCGCTGCTGCCTTGCTCTTCTTGTTGTTCGCCGCTGTTATACAGCTGTGGCTGGCTCCCTGTCTGTTTTGGCTCTCTTCCTCGTAGCACCCCAAGTATGAACGACGGGCGCCGTTGAACCGATACACCGGTACGGAAGTGGAAACGTTCTGAGCGGAGACCGGAAAGGCTTGCTGGCGAGAAGACAAACGAACGCCAAATATCGACAACAACACGACAATAACCTCTCCCACCCTTTCCCCCCACACGCGTGCTGTTCTCTCCGTTCGACCGCCACCGCCACCACCGTCTCGTCTGCTATTTTCCGTGTTGTTGTCGCCGCCTCTCTCGCTCTCGCTTGTTGCGGCCTCTCACCGCGGACGTAGTCGCCGCCGTTCCTTCCTCGGGACGGGCTTGCGGGGGGGGGGCAGAGGAGCAGCGACGACTACAACCTCAGCCCTTCGATGAGCAACAACATCCTGGGCTACGGAGCCGGCGCCGGCAGCCTCGCTTCCCCCGAAAGAAGCAGCCCCTACCGGCAAGGGTTGCCTCCGCCGCCGATGCCACCGCCGCCACCACTGCCCAACGAGCAGCGGCCGCACTTCCTCGGTCGAAGCTACCTCTCCGCTTCGTCCCCGGCCCCCTCGCACGGTCCCAGCGTCGGCTCCTTCGACAGCTCTAACGCCCTCGGGGCTATCCTAGACGCCCGCCATCGCGGCAGCAGCAACGGCTTCGTCCGTGGCGGCGGGGGCGGCGGGCGGGTCGGGATCGGGATAGCCCCCCACCACCACGGCAGCAACAGCAGCCGTCGCCGACCAGACCAGGACTTGTCCCCGCAGGGGGACAACACCGGAGACGCCGGTGCCGGCGCCGCCTCCTCAGCGATGCACGCGCGGCAGCAGTACGGCAAGGCGTTTTCCGATCACCAGGGGAAGCGCTTCTTGCCTCCCCCCTCCGGCAGCGGCGGCGGCGGCGGCAGGTTAAGGTTATCATCCGAGGAGCTCTACGGAAACAGTCTGGCCGCCGCCGCCGCGGCCGCTGCGAGATGGCGCGGCGGGGTCGACGCCGATGACAACAACAACGCTACTGGCGGCGGCGGCGGCAGCGCTGATAGGTCGAACCCGGGGGTGAGCAGATGGAGGACCGGTGGCGGAGACCGTGGCTGGACGGCGGGGGAGGGGAGAGGGGGGGGACGACATCAAGCTCATCAGCGAGTGCCGCAGAGGGGTGATGGCAGTGGTATTTGTATCGGTGGTGGTGGTGGTATGGACGTAGACTCGGCGCACGACCTTCTCGTGGGAGCTGCAGCGGCGGCGACCGCCAGCGGCGGGCAGAGCTTCCGCGACGCGCCCCCGGTCTCTATCGCCGCCGATGGAGCCATGACCGGCGCTACGGGCAGTGCGGCGACGAACAGCTGGGGTGATGGCGGCGATAACGGCCGCGCCGGCGGCGGTGCGGAGCGGAGCGGACCCTCCCCTTGTTTTCTTGACGGGACCGGTGTGCCCGCGAGTGCCGCGACTACCCGGTCCCCTGCAGGGGACGGCGAAATGGGGCAGCGGGGGCCAAGTGGCCCCGGCGGCGGGGCCGGGGATAGGAGCGAGGGCAGGGAGGGTGGCTTGCCGGGCGGGTGGGAGGTGCCTCTGCATCAGCAGCAGCAGCGGCAGCAGCAGCAACAGCAGCAGCAGCGAGCCCCCGGGGGGCTTGATCAGGAGGGCGCCGCCGCCGCCGCCGCCGCCGCCGCCGCCGCCACCGCCGCCGCGTGGCCCACCGATTACTCGATGTGATGCGCCGCCGCCGCCGCCGCGTGGTCCGCTGATTTCTCGACGTGATGCGTGTAGCCTTAGCCGCGCCTGGCTTGTTCCTCTCCTGGAAAGATGATGAGGCGAGAGGCCCAGCGAGAGAGGACAAGGTCTCGTCGCGGCCGGTTGATACGGGTGGTAAGATCTTAGCTCTCCTTTTTTGTGCGTTTCTTAAGTGAGCCAATCTTGTGCGGCGACCGCCGCCGCCCCCACCGCTTCTCCTACTCTCTCTTCTCTTCCCTCCTCCTCCTCCTCCCCCTCCTTCTCCTCCTCTTGCTGCTGCAGCGGGCATGCTGACTTGCTTTGATGGCGCACAAGTGTTTTGCCTTATTCGCCGTGGCCTAGGCTCAGCTGTTTCGTGTCTTGTCGCCGGTTTTTCGCTTTTGTCGGGCGCGTGCCTGAGAGATGATTGATGGCCTACTTTCCTGCTAGAAGTACCCTTTTGTTACCTTGCGGAACTATCTGCGCGTCCCCCGCGCCAACCGGCGTCATCGCCGCCATGGCCCTTTTTCCTTCACAGGTTTTTTAATGGCATGTAACATAGCGAGGCAAGCCACGCTTTTCTCCCTGGCTGTTCTACCCCTCCCTGTCATTGTATTCCCACTTCTGAAAAGTTTTATTGTTATGTTTTGTCTCCTCCCGTTCTCTGTTGTGCGCCGGGCGGGTCGCACGCGCGTGTGTAAAGCAAGTGATTGCCGCTGTGTTTAGCCGTGGTCAGAGATAGAGGGGGCGGGGAGAGGGGGGGGTGATCAGGCAGTGAGTTTTGAATGCGACATGAAAGGTTGCGTAGAGGTTCGTTTTTTGTCCCGTTTACGAAAACGGGAGCATCGATTTACTTATGGTTGTCAAAATATCAATCAACAGAGTGAGCACGATGAGCTCGCTGAGAGGGGGGGCGGGGTTGCTTTCGACCGCTGCTGCTGCAGCGGCCGTGTGTACAAGCGTATTTTCTCGACATGCCTAGTCCGGAGCACATTCGAACCCGCTTCTTGTTTTTCCCCACCGGACAAGGCCGGCTCGTGGATGGCGGTGATTGGCAAGCGCGATGTTCGCTAGCGCCAACAATATGTAGTGCGTTTCCCTCGTTTCGGTGTTGCTGTTTCCTTCAGGGTAGGGGGGGCGGGGGGGGGGGGGGCGTACTCTT